TCTGGGATGTAATGCGCCCACATCATTTGAGTGGCGTGTAAAAACCTGTTAAAATAATGAACTGGAACTAGTGCGACCAGTTCGGCTGCATGCCAATCGGTGCACTCTACAGTTTTTAACATGAAACTCAAACTCAACTTGTTAGGCCAAAGTCCACAGTGTGTCCTCACGCACACACACACACACACACACAGTGCAGCGACACACCGATTGCTCAATCGAACATTTGACTTTCCAGACAGACAAGAAAGAAAGTGGCCTTTCACACACTCTGACTTCCTGTTTCACTCTTCATTTTCAATTCAAATCAGTTTCCACTGATGCCCCAAAAATTTCCTTCATCTGTCCACAGGACGGACTAATCCAGTCACTCAAATCTGTCAAAATCAACTACTCTGTCACACACACACACACACACACACACAGTATAACAAACTAAGTCATAGTCACAGTGTTCAGTGAGACTCTCGCAGCCACACAGAAGTCCAGTGTTGTGTGTCTGTGTCGCACCTGTGCCGTCGTAGCAGCAGCAGCAGCAGCGGGAGAGGACCCATCCACAGCAGCGGCCGACTCTCTTCATTCTTGCTCACACACACATCCTACACTCACACACAACCTCACACACACCTCCCTCCAGCACGTCTGACTCAGTCAACCAGTCCGTCAGCTTGTTCCTGATCTGACAAAGAGAGTGACTTTCAAGAGTTTCGCGTCCACACTGCCCAGAATCAGCAAAGAGAGAGAGTTTTAGTAGTGTGGGAGGAGGAGATGGGGGAGGAGCACATTCTCCCTCTACCTCCCCTCCCCGCACGCTTCGGCTCAAAGGAATAAGAGTCCCTGTTAATTATTTGAGCGGGCACCTTCGTCGTTGTGGAGGGCAGGGACTCCACAGAGACACAGGAAGTGTAACGATGTAACAATGTAGCAAAAACGTCTCTTTGCATTTAAAAAAACGAGACGGCAGCAAACAAAATGTCCTGTAACTAAGTAACAGAAAAAAGTCCACTGACGTCCCAGTGTGGGAGTGTGTCCACAGCTAGAGCCAAGCCAGCAACTTTATTATTAAAATTAACTTGCATTTATTTTCTGATCTTCCTCAGTGTGTC